TGGGATTACAGGCTTGAGCCACCGTGGCCGGCCCTTACTTCTCTTTTAAGATGCTGCTTAAGCACCATTTCAACTCTGAAGACTCCCTAATATTCATCTCTGTCCACACCAATTGTGTTAGTTGCTTCTTTTCCCTGCTCTAATAGTATTTTAAAATTACCTCTAGCATCGTTTGTAATTTTTAATTTATGTGTCTTTTCCCATTGGACCAAATTCCTTAAAAACAAAGCACATGTGTTATTTATCTTTGTATACCCCATCAAAATGCAAGGTATATATGAAATGTGTCAGAAGTGTTTATTGAATTAATACATAAATAAATGATTACTAGGCACATTATAGAATCAACCAGAGTTCCCCTTAGGGAGAACTTTATGCATGCATCAAGCACTCACTCATTCACTCTGATATCCCTTGGAATTTACCCAGGAAGGGGCCTCTCCAGGATTAGTTCAGGACCATTGCCAGAGGCTATGATGGTGAAACTGGCCTTCTTTCCAACCCACCTGGAAAACCTCCATTTTGTCTTCTCTTTAAATCATTCAAATCACAGCTTTCTAAGGAGGTATTTGCCTTGGCCATTTCTATTTTCTCTCTGCAGATTAACCATCTTTAATCTAACTGAAAGTTTGCCTTTACATAAACGGAGATGAAGGATGAATTAAACAATTTGAGCCTTGCAGGGGAAGTTGTAGGAGCAGCCTCTCCTGAGGTACAGGGACCTTTTCTCTTGAAGCCTACTGTGGTGCTGTTGATCTCTTGGCCTTTCAGTAACTGTCATTTGGGACTATTGTTGCTGGCAATTAAAGACTCTTAGGTCAGCTGGAAATTCGTCTCCAGGTACTTAGCTGTAGGTCTAGGCTTCTTCCAACAGCTCTTCATGAAAAATCATATGCTGAACTCACAAATGACTCCTTTGCTATTAAAAGAAGAAGCTGCCTCATAGAATTGTGAGCCATTCCAAGTTCTGGATTCTGTTGTAGACTACCGGCTATTTAAGAATGAAATACTTGGTTTTTTACACTTAATGATGAATAGAGCTGTATGAAATCATAAGATATGCAGATTTTTAAAATTAATTATAACAAAGTGAAGTTTAGACTTCAGAACACAGATTAATAGTATACCTTTTGAAAACAATTTATAGTATGCTATAAAAGTTTTCTTATCTGTTTAAAAGGGTTTTCCAAATATCCAATTTCCATTTTTAAATTTTTGAATTTATACACACACATATACAATCATATGTATTTCTACTGTGGCAACAATTCCTTAACCATTTTGTTTCAGAAGCAAAGTTTAGGGACACTTTCTAAATGTTATTTTGACTTTGTAGTCCTTAATACTTAAAATTTGGAATCTAAGCTTAACTCAAACCTAGGTTGTAAATTCAAGTAATAGATAAGTTGTCAGCTTTAAATGAAAAAAGTAATATTGAGAGTTTTTTAATCAAAATATTCAAGAAATATTTGTTGAAAACATCTTTCTGTGTAGTATTCATATGGATGCTTCAATGAATTCCACATACGTTTTATATGGCACAGTCACTTCTAAAAGACAGAATAGAGGAAACCCTCACATGTATTTGTGGTTTATATTACTGTATTTCCTGTACATTGCCCAGGTATTAACTCAGATATTATCAATCTAGGGAAGGACACACTCCCTTTCCAGCACTTTAGTGGTGGTGGTGAAAGCAAAGATTGGTCTGTTGTTGTTTTTCATTGACTTTCTAATTAAGGAGAGTGACCTCCTGGGCATAGTTTGCATAGTCATAAGATAGCCTTAGAGTACCACAATTTGGGAGAGGGTACAGGTCAGGGGCAAACATAGGAAGCAGGGAGAAGGAAAAACAGGAAAACATTGAAATGTTTTCCAAGTTATGATTTTGCAGAGGGATCTGAGCACTGCAATCTGTGTAGTGTTAAAAGTCACTGCTGTAGTTGATCACGTATCAGAATAAATTTAAAAGTGTTTCAAACTTTGGCCTCCCTGAGTAAATCTATTCTTCCCAAATCTTGGTTCATCTGATGCAACATTTCTAGTTTAGCTTAGGATGTCCCCATTCATTTTGTAGTTCACTCCTTCTGGAAGAGAGACAAAGTGATGCCCATGTGATCCAAAGAATTTTCTATTTTTCCCCTTCTTAATTCATGTTTTTGTTCTGTGCACTGTGCTTGAGTTTTTCAACTTCTGGAAGCATTACATGTGAGTCCCAGAGACCTGCTGTGTAATCAATTTCTTGTCCTTCAGTTCTTGAAGACAGTCTGTGATGTAGGAGGAAAGGAAAAGGTTAGAGCAGGCTAGAGGTCAGACTTGAGCTCTGTTCCTTAGAAAAAGGTAGAAAATAGTAAAGTAGAAGAAAGTAGTAAGGTTAGTGAAGACTGTGGCAGAGTTAGGGTTAGAGTGAGAGATTGGGCAGATGTATGGCATATCTGGGAGAATCAACCGGTATGGAGTAGAGAATCTAGGATGTTTATGCTAAAGCCAGCGTCTAAAAATTCACCATGATCTCTGTCAGTCTTTAGGTAGTAAAACTTCCCCTTTACAATGAAATACGTATTTTAAATGAAGAAATAAATGGAAGCTGCCTATTTGGTTTTGCCAGAGGTGGAGAGAAAGCTACAACAGTAAAAGCAGGTCTCAAATGTTAATCACCTGTGGCATAGTAGTTAACTTAAAATAATATTGAAATGTTTTTGCATCTGACATTCTCCACAAACCTGTCTCCTTTTATGTGAATGCATATCAGTATATAAATTGCTAAATCCATGTCAGTTGTAAAGTAATGGCACTGAGGGCATCATAAATTACCATGGTGATCCTCAGGAGAAGACACTGTCATATCTGAATGAGTGTTTCACTTCCAGAGTAATGTATGCCTTCATCTGGCCCAGCAGTCAGCATATTGCCCTGTGTTGATGGATATTGTCAGCTGGAAGCTACACTACATTTCACTGCACAATAAACATGGCTGTCAAACCCATATAAAGTGAAATCAATTTATCCTGTATGGTCAGTGCATTTTAAATGAAATTAATGTACTGTGGGTATGGTGGCAAAAAGGTATCATATTAGTTATGCATCTTGGGATCTAAGACTTTTCATGTAAAGGATCATTCTGTCTAGTAGGCCTAAAAGAAGGGCTGTTTATAAAATATGTTATTTCTGCACAATCTTCAGAAAGTAGCCTTTCTGCCCTCCTTCCTGTTTAGAAAAAAATTCATGTTAGCTAATCCCACCCCTTTATACTGCCTTTTGTTTGCAGTAAATGATGACCATATTTGCTAAATAATAGTGCACTATAATGTTGTAATTTATTACTGGCTTTGACACAAATTTCTACTTAACCAACGTATCTAAAAATAGAGTGGAAGGGCCAGAGATTGATTGAATCATGGTGGTCCTGTATAATAACTTCACTGAGCAGAAAGGGTTTACTTTTTTCAGAAAATAGAAATGTTGGTTTTATTGTGTATTTTGCTTCTAAACTTCTGAGTGTAGGCATTCCTGTTATATCTTAGAAGCCTTGTCTGAGGCTATCAGTTTGACCACTTTACCTTTAATTATAGAAGTTCTCAATCTGCAGGAGATATTCAGGAGTTGCCATATCACAAAGTATATATCAGCATATCACCCTAGTAGGATGCATGAAAACAAGCAAGAGCCATGTTCATTCATTCAGTTATTCATTCAGTCATTCATTAATGTAATTTTGCTAATTGAAATCCTATATACGAAGTACTTCATTGAATCCTAGGAATACAGCAGTGAATGAGACCCAGCCCTTGCTCTATCTTCAAGGAGCTTTCATCTAGTATGTTACTAGAATCAGCTCTTTGGAAATTATGAAGCATCAGGAATTTAGGCATAGTTTCATAGATGTTAAAGAACTACCCTTAAACGACAGAAAAAATAGATCAGGAATCTTGAAATAAATGCCTCTAAGTCTATGACTTTTGCATATGAGGTGAAAACCAAATAATCTTTGTTTAATGAATATTTTGTTATCTATTATATGGGAAATCCTGAGGATACAAGAATGAGTATAGCATAATCACTAACTTCAGGTACCTCATATTCCTGAGAGGAGTGGAAAGGAGGGAGATAGTCACATAAATCATAATTACTATAGGGTATGTCTCCTGAAAGCAAGAGGAGTGCAGCCTGGGGAGCATCATCGCAAATGCTGTTCCTTTAGCCTGAATTGCCCTTCCCATCTGGCTTTACTCCCTCTCCCACTCACCTGCTGGTTCCTATTTGTTCTTCAAGACTCATTTTAAGCATCACATCTCCTGGGAAGCACTAGCTGACTGTTCTGTCTGCTGCTCTTTTGGTGCCCCGTTATTGTCAATATTGTAGCACCTCTCACCTCCTTTGTTATAATCGTCTGTCCTTACTCTAAACTGTGACTCCTTTAAAGCATGAGCTGTTTTATTTACCATGGTCTCCTTAGCACCTGGTATAAAACCTAGGTTATAGTAATTGTTCAATTAATATTTTTCATTGAATTAATTCATTCAATCATGAAACATGTCAACATTGGAGGATGAATGGGATTTAGCATGAAAGAGTAGGAGAGGGGTCTTCTAGGCAATGAAAAGAGCACAGGTCAAAACCATATTGTCAAAAAGAATTCTATTTGTAGGAAACATATAGAGTGGTTGTGATCTGGGGCAAACAAGTCTAAAATGACAGGTAAAAGCATGCTTTTGAAGAAGGGAATTAGAGCAGCAAAGTTTGCCATAAGGTAATGTCATTCATTGCTGTATCACCTAATATTGATTGTAGTAAATGTGGTAAAATTAATTCTTAGTATGTTTTTGAGGGCTACAACAGAAAAGCCTATAGAATTGTCATTTGAACCTGCCTTCTACTTCCAAGAAGTCACTTAGAAAATAAGAGGAGTACCTGAGGAAAACAGCTGACCCAAGCTGTGTGACATTATCCACATAATAACGCTTTCCACTCATCTTGTTCTTCCTGCCCTGACATTACAGGAAGTAAAGCAATGAATGGCTCTGCAGCTAAACTACAGCAGTATTATTGTTGGCCAACAGGAGGTGCCACTGTGGCTGAAGCACGAGTCTACAGGGATGCCCGCGGCCGTGCCAGCAGTGAGCCACACATCAAGCGACCAATGAATGCATTCATGGTTTGGGCAAAGGATGAGAGGAGGAAAATCCTTCAGGCCTTCCCCGACATGCATAACTCCAACATTAGCAAAATCTTAGGTGAGTTCCGAAGCACAGCTAAAGCTGATCTTCTCCCCCGTGAGTCCCATGAGTGGCACCAGCGTGGGAAGCAGGGGCATAACTAGGATCCTAAGGGACACTGCGGGGCACTTGTTAGATGAAGATCAGCCAGCTGCCACAGGAGGCTTTGTCATCGTGTCTGCCTCCCCCACCCCACAACGTGGCATTTAGGTTTGGAAGTTATTATGTCCACTAGGTGCTAGGGCAGCACTGGCTAAACACTTATTTTAGAGACAAAACTATTTATAGTATGTGTTAATACTGGGAATTTAGCAACTCTTGAGAGGTCACAGGAATCATGGAGACAAGCTTTATCCCTTTTTACTGTGCAGTTCTCTTAAATTCATACTTTGCTATGAAATACTCATAGACCCTACAGTTTTCTGCTTTAGTGTTCTTGGGTTCATATATCCCACTGAAAGAATTCATCAAGGACTAGAAATCCAAAATGGTGTGAAATTCATGGAGTGCAGAACAGTGCCTCTGATGATCACTTTAAAACTTGTAAAATAAATCTACATTTATTTTAATAAGATATGACTAGTTCAAATTTCATAGCAGTGAGCTGAACACGTGAACCACAGGGCAGAGGCCCATTTTGTGGTAAATTGCCAGAGTGATTCTCTATTTCTCAGGATTAAACTCAAGCCTTGTTCTGTTAGTATAGAGCTTGCCTAGTGCAGATTGTACAGTTTGGAATTATTGTGCTCAACATGTTAAACATATTTTATTCAACATGCAGCATTACAGCCAACATGTTTCCTCTTTAAAAAGGAAAAACACAGAAGGCACTGTTCTACTTAAGCTGTCACGATGTGACAGAATCTCAAAGGAAGCCATTTAAGAAGCTGAAAAACATTAGAGACTTAAACTGTGGTTTTAATTTTTTAAATGTTTTGTTCAAAAGTAATAAATATTTAACCTGAGTAAATATCAGTGATCTGGACATGCACAGATACACATGTTTTGTCACTGTATAAATAATTTAACTTGATTCTGAGGCATTATGAGGCAGTGACCTCTAACAAAAATTTAAAATATACATAAGCTCAAATACTGGTGAAATGTTAAAAAATGTTTTTCTTTTTTTTCTTTTGATTTTCTAATTTCAAAATGGATACTAAATGTCATAACAATTAAGTTTGGTTTTTACTTTTAGAGCTTCAGAGTTATGCATAGGGATGTTATTCTTTTGAATGTAAATACTTTTCAAACCAAAAGCTCCTAATAGACACATTTTTTTTTCTAGTTAAACGATATTCTAAAAGAGAAAAAATTAGGCTTTTCTGGCCTTACAGTTTTATATTTAACTTTGAGATTTTCGTATTTTTCTGCCCTTTTAGTATCAATATGTGTAAGCTTTCAGATAGGCACAGAACCTCTCTGTTTCCATTTTGGCAGCTGTGGGGAATCTATATTATTGGTGTGCATTCTGTGAAAACATTTTTAAGAATATAGTAAGTATATTCATTAAAGTGTACACTTTGAAGCGCAAGCATTTCAAGAGCACCAAGAATTCTTTGTTAATTGGGGCTTTAAGCTGCTGGAAGCTAGCAGAGCACAGAGAAACCTATCTGCCTAGACCGTCTACACAACTTTTGCACAACAATCGGGAAAGAGCAGGGATGGATGTGCTATTAAAGCAGACCAGGATATTGCTGGCTGCAGAGAGTATTTGTACAACTTTTCCATTTGTTTATGTATGAAAAATCTCCACTGAAGAATAGCTAACATCCAGTCTGCACAGCTGTTACCGCTTTATTCACCAGCGAGACACAAAAATGCAATTTGATACATGTAAAAAAACACATCCCCTCTTTGTCAAGTGTTTAGATAATTCTTTATAAACAATATTAGAGAAGTGAATACTTATCCTTCTTCCTGTATAAACCGTATTAAAAATTTTTGTACTTTTATTGGTACAGCTTTGAATGAGCGTTTATAGTACTTGAAAGTGGTATATATAATTCCAACGGTACCTTCCGGTTCTAAAGCTATAACTTCTTAAGTAGAGCTTAGGTTTTTAATTACCTAGGCCAGGGGTGACGTGTACACAGTAGTTTTTTATATATGGAAGGATTTCAACATCTGCTGACATCTTGTCAAAGGATAGTTTTGCTAAAGATAGTTGGAATTTGGGAGATGTTTGAATTTCTAGGACCAAGAGAGCTTTTCCTGAGAATCGTGTCATGCTCAAAAGTGTGCTTAGGAGGCTTAGCCGTTTAAGCTTGTTGAGAGGATAGGCATGTGGATGGGAAAGACCTTGGTGTAGGCAATGATCTTTAAGCAGCAAAGATATATTTTAAAACACTATAATAGGATCAGTCTTAAACTATTGAGAGAAATAATGCAAGAAAGTATCATATGCAAAATTGTTCTTTGCACTTTAGTCTAAAAGTCTAGGTGGGAGGGCCAGTGATATGTGGTAATTGGAGCCACCCAGCACGCAGATGAGTGAAGTGGTGTGAAGGTATATCTAATTGTGTTTGCCTGGAATATGTTGCCTTGACTCCTTGGTACTTAAGGCTATTTTTATTTCTAGGATCTCGCTGGAAATCCATGTCCAACCAGGAGAAGCAACCTTATTATGAAGAACAGGCCCGGCTAAGCAAGATCCACTTAGAGAAGTACCCAAACTATAAATATAAACCCCGACCGAAACGCACCTGCATTGTTGATGGCAAAAAGCTCCGAATTGGGGAGTATAAGCAACTGATGAGGTCTCGGAGACAGGAGATGAGGCAGTTCTTTACTGTGGGGTAAGTATTCTTGAATTTAGCCACCTGGGCCTTTCTTTTGCAGTAAGTAACTGTAGGATGGCTACCGGCAGTATGTTTGGGAGGGAGATTAGGGAAGGGGGAGGTTGTGACATACTGATGGGGCCTGGCCATGAGAATCTTTGCTGCGTCATAGGGACACAGCCTTGCACCATGGCTCCTATTCAAATCAAGCCAAACCTGGAACAGCTCACTCCCAGCTGATCACTCCTGTCATTGTCTCCCCAGCCAATTTAAGATGCTCAGTGCCCACACACAGAGTTTCTGGTAGTTTATTTAAGCAGACATAGAGAGGGAAAAAAAAAAAATCAAAACTAACCTTAAGAAATCCCTAGAAGCTTTCCAGCTTCCCTGGGTGTGCTTCTGACTCTAATCACAATAGTCTACTTTTGTTGTGGGATCTACCACAAGATAATTGGCCTTGACATTGGTTAGAGGACCTCATTTTTGGCATAAGATACAGAACTCCTGTTGCAGTAAATTACTCTGTGGTAGGAGAAGTAACAATGTGTATTTTCTTGCTTAAATCAGAAACTAGACATGCTTTTGGTATCTTCAAGTCTGATTTCATGTCATTTTGTTTAAAAATTAGGTAATAGATTTCTGGTATAAATTTCAACTTGGCTGACTGGCTGTCTGCATTCAAAAGAGGCCCCTCATAACCACAGTAGTCAGGATAAGCAGGGATGCGGATGACTGTAGATTCTGGCATATCCAGACCTAGAAGCACAGCCGGGTGGCAAACCCAGAGGGCCATTTGAGGCACAGACCTGAAGCAGCTGGACTCAGAGTAGGGAAACACTTGGGAAACAGCTTGAGAGAGAGAAATGGAGTAAGCAAGAGGGAAGCTGCATTTGCTGTGAACTTAGAGGAGAATTGAGGAGCTGTGCTGTGCTAGGGAATTAAGAGAGCTTCACTTGAAGGGGAAAAAAAGAGATACCTTAAAGAAGTAAAGAGCTATTTATTTTTAAGAGCACTCAAGAGGTAACCCCATGGAACAAAAAGCTGGTTTCAGAGCATGTGTTTAAAAGGAATAGTAAATAGTCTAGGAAAAACAAAGCCAATGAAAGCAGTGTGGGTCATGAATCTGTGCAGTACACTGTGGTGTTCTGGGGAGGAGTGTGGGCTTTGGAGTTTGACTCCTGGGGTTCACATGCTGACTGTCCCATCTACCTGGGCAAGTTATTTAACTTCTCTAACTTCTGTTTTCTCATGTGTAAAATGAAACTAATAGCAGAAGCTATCTTGTGTGATTGTTGAGAGGATTCAATGAGGCAATGCTTTTAAAAGTACTTTATGTAGTGCTTAGTACAATATCAATAAAGGTGAACTCTAGCATTATCATTACTATTTAATATGTATTTATTATCACAGAAAATGATATTTTATATCACACAAGATGATCAACGAATTTCTTTATACCACAACAGAACCTCTTAGAGGTAGAGAGAAGTTTAAGCCACTTTATTATTCAAAGATCCCCGTATGTTAATAAATGAAGACATGACAAAATATGATTATCAAATTCCTCTATATTATAAATGTTTGCTTTTGTAAAGGTAATGCTTTTAATGTGGAAAAGTGCAATGCAGTATAATTGGGCTATTCAGATGATAATTAGAGGCTTTACGAAAAATACTAATTCATAGTCCACTTTAAGATTGTGTGATACACATTCTCTTTTAATCCTGTTAGTACACCTCTAAGATAGTGTATAATCTCTTGATAGTATAGAATCTCTTTTGAACAATCCACAGTTTCAGTTTGAGGCCTTTTGTGATTCCTCCCCTTTTCCCCAGTCGTGTTCCCTGTGTATGTAGTGACACATAGTGGGGCTGTTTCACCAGTCTGGAAGACAACAAAAGGGACTGTTTTAATGCCTTGACATAATGCTTATTTGAAAATATGAGTTGCAGTGTTACTATTCAATTTAGTTCCCTTTATTCCCTTTACTAAAGGATACATTAAAACAGCTCTGGATCAAAATACCACAACATGTACCAGTACATGTAAAATAAAACAACTTAATAGCATCTATTATTTATTGACTACCTGCTGTATACTAGGATTTTAGATATATAAATCACATAATTCTCTAAATAAGATAAAGAAGTTGAGGTTTAGAGAGTTCCTATGGCTACCGAAAGAGCGAAGGTTCAAATTCACGTCTTGGCCCTCATCATGCCAACTGACTCAGGAACTGTCCTTACCACTTTGTCTCAAAATATGCCTCATAGCCCTATGGTGGCAGTCATGAGTGTGGCTGTGCCATCTGAGCAAGAGCTCTTAGCACTAGGAAAAAATGAAGTCTCTGCTGTGGCATATGGTGCATAAAAAGAGCTTTGAAATTTAGAGAGTAAGTATCCTGCTTTTGATAGTGTAGGAGAGTCCTTTATGGAAGGATCATTTTAGACTGCAGAATAGGGCTATTGAAGTGCAGACAATGATCAGAATGTCCTATTCTTTAATGTCAATGTTGAACATTTTCCTCTGCTCAGCTTTGATAAAACTTGCTACATAGAACCAGGTGTTATTTCTGCTTAAGGATTTGTATTCTCTTTTAAGTAGCTGTAGTTGATAGATTATTAACTTACTGAGGTTTATCTTTGGATATTGATCTTTATTAGATATAAAGTTATTATAAGAGTAGAGAGAAAAACAAACAAAAAATTCAAATATTGCTATTGACATCTTGATGGAATGGGTTGAGATCAATTTTTATAGCTGATTTTGAAAAGACATGCATAACTTTCAAGCCAATAAAAGTGCATATACTGCTAAACATTTTCATGCCTTTTACTGACTACACAACTGTGGCTGATGAGTTAGATTTTTTTTATTACTTAGCTATTATGAAATGAATTTATCAATAATATGGAATGGAGCAAAGTTAGCTCTTGCCTTGGTTTTAACCTCTTCAGTTTGCAGAATAAGTATCAGAATATTGTAATAATTCTGATAAGGGTACTATTAATGTAGAGGCAATATTCATTAGGGTACATATATCTACAATGATGTCTTCCCAAAGAACTATGACCAAATATACTTCCATTTATTTGAAACTTATTTGGTAATTTACCTATGAATGCATAGAGAATTATGCAGGTACATTCAGCCCTCCGCATTCTGTGGGTTCTGCATCTGTGTATTCAACCAATTGTGTATCAAAAATATATATTTTTAATTCCAGAAAATGTTATATTATTGCTAAGTTACACTGCGTAGTTAGGTCTACAGTGGTTGCATCTCTATGGAACATGTACAGACTTTTATTTTCTTGTCTTCATTTCCTTAACAATCCAATATAACAAATGTTTACATAGCATTTACATTGTATCAGCTATTATAAATAATGAGATTGTTTGAAGTATATGGGGGATGTGTGTAGGTTATATGCAAATACTATACGACTTTATAAAAGGGACTTGAGCAGCCTCGCATTTTGTTATCTGTGGAGGATCCTAGAGCCAATTCCCCATGACACTGATATAAAACTACTATAAAATATTAAATTTAGGGCTACTTTTTAAGCAATGATAAAGATACATTATTGAATACTTACTGTGTGCTATATACTCTGCTGAGTAGATTATACAGATTATTGCAAATACAACAAATTTACAAGGTAGGCAATATCATTCCCATTATACAATTGAAAAACACAATATTCAGAGATGTTAATTTGTCCAAGGCCTCACAGCTAGTTAGTGGCAGAGCTGAGATATAAATAAGGCTTCTGTGAATGTGAAATATGTGTCATTTCTACCAAAGGATAATGGGAAGGACATGACATTACGCACACAGATTCCGTACAGTGTAGTAGTTAAGAGCATCAGTTCTGGAATCAGACTATTCTGGCTCAAATACTAGATCTGCACCTCCTTGGCTGTAGGAACTAATACACGGCAATCTTTATTCCTCTGAACTCACCCTTGCCTTTCGGAAGCATTTAATCTCTCTCTACCTCAGTTTCCTCGTACGTAGAATGAGAATGACAATATTGATGACATGACACATTCAGGACTCTTCTTGAAGACTGAGTAACTTAATATTTACAAAGTGTTTAGAACATTGCCTAGCGTATGAAAAGCTCTAAATTCAAGTATATATTACAATTCTAGAAAAATAATACTGTGTGCCAAGTATATATTCTATATTATATTAAAATAATTATTTTCAGTGCCTTGTGCTATAAGTGATTTGAACACTTACCATTTTAATCTTAGTTTTTAAAAGGGTGAATCAATCCTATTTAAGACACTTACAAAATACAATTAAATTAGCATAGATTAGCCATGCTCTTTTAAGTATTGTCCTCCTGTAAAGACCCTGGATTAGAAGATTCAATAGGTAAAGTGAACAGATTACTATGATTTCTGTTCCTTCCTGCAGTATCAGCTACAGAGATATGTGCCGTATAGGCTTACCTCCTAATGAAACAAGCTTCCTTGCTTTTATTTATACACTCGAAGGGTCTAAATGGTCAGCAAACAATGGAGCTTTGCCAGCATAAATATGTAGTTACTTTGTAATTGGCAAAGCTAGATTACACTCCAGAAATACTCCTGTAATTTGGAAGTCATGTAGCAATGGTGGGTTCTATTTTTACTTAGACTGGGAGGAAGGGTTCTTAACTATCTCTGTTCACATCAACTGCATGTGTATACTTTTACAAACATCTACAAATTTTGTTTTGCTGTGCACATTCATTATTTGTAAAGCCTAATACCTGCCAGCTATTCCTGCTTGCGAAATCTGCAGTGTTTGAATTTTGACTTTGAAATTGATCTATAAAGGAAGGAAAAATACTTTCTAGGAAAGTAATTTCTGATAGACAAAGCTTGAACCTCCTGGCTGGGTTTCTTATTTTGTTCATCGATTTGTTAGTCAATTGGTAAGGGCCTATTTGAAACCAGCTATGTGTCCAGCACTTTACTAAATTAATACAGTACATGAGATATTATTTCTGTACACATGAGCTT